AAAAAATTTGAGGCCATAAAAATTTGAGTGATTATAGTTTAACCTTACCACCATTTCCAAGTTGTAGAAGCGATCCAACAACTTCAAAACATCATCTGCAGTAAATGACCGATTGAAACTGCAACAACAATTCGTGTGGATGTACAATAAGCTAATATTCAAAACTTAAAAAGAGGATACTCAGAAGCAGAACTTTAAATTGATAAAAATACAATTACTGTAGGATAGAAATAAAAGGGCAAGATAACCTTCTGCTCATGTACTCCGTCAAACCATAAAGCACAAAGTGTCTATGTATGCCTGCAATGACAGAGTTTAAAGTCAATAGCATCAATCAATAAAACAGACAAACTCCTAAAGAATTTTGATTGATCGCGGCTTCACAAAACAAAAAATATGAACACATTACATTGAACGAACCTTTCGTTTACATTAGATTCTTGCTGATAACAGCGCGACCAACAAAAAGCACTAGAAATGTTCTTAAAACTAGTAAGTTTTTGAACTTTTATAATTATCATTAAGCTATTAAAGCAACAATTCGAGCAAAAATAGAAAATCTAAGAGATTTTTAGACATGCATGCATGTAGATGTTTAACATATGTGCGTATATGAATTTGAAAATAAAACAAAAATAAATTAATTAACAAAAATTACCTCGTAACTTGGCGGGAGGATAGATTTCGAGAGCTTCCAATAGTTTCAGCTCCAATTCCACCTCTGATTTCTCCTGAAATACAATTCAATCGAAGAAAAAGAAAACAATTTTTTTAAAAAATAAAAATAAAAAATCATAATCAACAAACACGTATTATTATATTAATTCCTACACCTCTTTTTCCGATTTAGAATTTGTCATTTGCCCCATAAGATTAGATTCTGATTTTGATTTAACATGAATTTACTATAAATTTATCAGAGGGTAGTTAAGAATTGAAATAATTTCTTCGTGATCAATTAGAGACGGTTAGGGATTTCAATAGTCTTTCAGTCAGAAAAAAAA